ATGGCTGGAACTCCGAGAGAAGTTGGTTTCCTGCATGCCAACAGGCATTTCATAATAATTTTAACAACCTTTTTACGCAAACCTGCAGCCAGGACTCCTTTGATTAAATACGAAAAACATGGATAGTTAGAGGTCCGACTTGGCATTTAAGCCCCGTTTAGTCGCTCCGGATGTACATGTGCTTCCAAGTTACCGCACATTATGTAATGACTTTTTAATCATATGTTTGTTAATTTATGCACGATTTTTCGCCTCCTTGCACTTGAATTTGGTGAATAATTAAATATTCCTCGTTAGTATTTATTTTAAAATTGTGTTTTAATTGGTTCCGTACGTTTACAAAGTTAACAGACTGGTCTGTCTTTAATATTCTTTAAAAAGCGTTGATGAATTATTAATAAATTGTTGGTTTCAGAAAATACATTTGTTTAATTTGTAATGTCTTTCAACAAGCAACACATTGCAAAATGCCGTTGTGAAGAATAAAGGAATCTGGCATGACTTAAACAGCTGACCATTACAATACAGCTGTAGTTACATTTGTAGGGTTTCAACAAATTATATCAGTTTCGACCCTTGAAAACATTTATAACTCCCTCCTCGCGTACCTATCTTTATCGAAATGGTTTATTTATAAAAAGATTACAAATTAAAGCTCTAAAAAAATCATAGACGTATCTAAACATAGTTTTGCGTTAAGAACAACGTTTTATGTTTCATATTCAGTTGTTTCACACAGCTTCTAATCCCTCCACAAAGAGTCCATCCGTGGGACACAAATGGGGCTTTGAAAAAAAAAGAAGCACCGATTACATCCACCATCCGCTATCCATAACAGCTGATGCGGAGAGCAGTTGCTCAACGGATAAAGATTTCAACTCGACAAAACTATTGTGATGTTAATTTTTCTTGAACTTATTTAATAAAAGAGCGTAGGACTTTAGTTTAACCACCTATGTATCTGAACTATTAAAGAAAGTCCTTCATCATACTTTCAGACAAATTGCTAAATGTGGGAGTGCTTTAATTCCCGTTTTGGGACGCCTCTGGCTAAGAAATTTTAAAATTGCGAATTGGCAAACAAGTTAAAATTCGGTTGCTTTGGTAATTTTTTTTAGGAGTATATATTACAGCTAACCTGGCCAACACATATCACTTATATTTGGGATTTCGTTTACGTTAACAAGTAATTTATAATTTCATGTAGGCCAAGAATAAATGCGTTTCAATATTTTTAAAATTTTTCCCGGCATTTTCGTAGTGAGAAGAACTACAATTTTCAAGAAGAAGTATTAAGGGCTGCATTAAAAAACAGTGCCAAAATATTGCAATATCAGTCAAAATTGGATGGTGGACTGACTGGGAAATTTTCGAAACGGTAAAGAGCTATAGCTCAAAATTATTAAAATATCTTAGTATTGAGGAACAAAGACCTCTATTATCGGAAAAAAAGAAAAAACTCAAATTTTTGCGATTAAATTTGTTAAATCAAACATCCCTAGTGTGGACAGAGCCTAATGCATAACCAATTATAGTCGACGTGGATTTTCGATAATATGTGTGTTGATTCATTTCAGAGTTCCTATTTTCTCACACCACTGCAATCGATATGCCTTGAAGTTCTATTAATCGATTATTTTCGTTCCTTAAAGTTTGGCGTGCTTAATTATTGCAAAATGAGCGCCCAGAAAAGTATTCTTGATTTGCCTGCAAAAGTTCTAGGCTTAATATACGGAGAACTTACTCTCCATGCAAAACTGCAGTTGGCACAGGTGCACAAAGTCCTGCGAGAAGCATTTATCCTCTACTTCGACGGACGATTTCACCGCATAAGTGTCGGGGACTTGCCCTATGAAGCGTGGGCCGTAATATTGGAGATGTGCGGTCCAGGTGTCTGTGAACTCATTTGTGATGGCTTGAAGGCAGGAGATCCCCGAGTGGATTTGATTCGAAAGTATTGCGACAACTTGCGATACATGGAGGTGTCATCATCAGCTGATTCTGGTTGCGGACCTGCCAAGGAGCTACTCTTCCAACACAAAGAACTCCTTTCGCTCTTTTTGTGCGTTCCCGATCCGGCCGAAGTCCTTGAATTAATGGTAGATCTTCCAAATATCACGGAGATGTCGCTAAACATGTTTTCTACAAAAGGACGTAAGTTATCAAAAGTTTAAGCCACAGAGAGTATACCATAAATTTAATTTTCATATGCAACTAACTTTAGTACTGCGTAAATAAATAATAATTATTGTAGATATTAGATATTTAACAACACAGTAGTTAATTTGCTTGTAAATAAAAACTTTAATAATTATTGAAAGTAATTTTTAACTAATCATATTAGAATGTAGAAGTTGTTATGAATAAAGATAATATTACAATTTTTTCTTGATATAAACTAAATCACAATTTTCCTCTTCTATTTATATTTTTCTAATATAGTTCCCCAACTACAAAAACTGGTTCATTTGACAAGTTTGCATTTGATCAGTATCAGCTCTGATGACCTCATTTGCCTGTTTGATTTCTGTACAACATTAAAAAAACTTCGTAACTTGACCTTGAATAACTTTAAAATTCAATGTCATGGTAAAGGGGATATGCCTGCCTCTATAAGGGCTCTTGAATTACTTGGGTGCGAAGTCTTGCCCGAACTTCCCTACTTTCCAAGACTTCAGTCATTATCCATTATAAAAACTAGTTGGTCAAAAGGAAATTTCTGCAAGTTCGTTTCTGCACACAGTAATACACTTAGGCTCTTGAAATTTTGTGCCAAGCGAGAGTTGCAAGTAGACGAGTTCCTCAAGGTTCTCAGTCGCGCAAGAAATTTGATAAGATTGAACGTGGTAGTTCGTAAGGACGACATTATTACTGCTGATTTCGTTGCGAACTTTATTAAAATCATTAAGGATAATGGCGTTGCCACCTCAAGTCGTCCATTGAATATGAGGATAACTAAATGCCAATTTAATGAGATATATCGGTTGGTAAGTGTTTACTATTTTACAAATTCGTTATATTATAATATATACTTTTATTATGGCTTTCAGTTTGATGAATCACCAGGCTCTGAAATCATACGTTTGGGTTGGCTTGACTTCCCGGATATAATTCGTGATTAAGGGAAGAGATCCAATTTTATCGATGTCACTTTCCAGTTTGAAACACATAAGAAAATATGAACTTTAAATCAAATATTGTTTTTCGTTTAAAAAAATAAATAAGTTTAAAAAACTTCCCCATATATAAAATTAATAGTTTCTGCTCTATAAATAGATATTGCTTGATATATATCCGGTAAAAAGAAGTGGTTCCAACCACATAAAAAGTATTACAACTATTTTTGTTTCTTAAGACTTCAGAATTTAAAATTGTATTTTATGCGGTTGGGAAGACTTTTTTATACCCTTGCAGAGGGTATATTGATTTCAGTCAGAAGATTGCAACGCAGTGAAGGAGACTTCCGACCCCATAAAGTATATATATTCTTGATCAGCATGACTAGACGAGTCGATCTAGCCATGTCCGTCTGTCCGTCCGTTTCTACGCAAACTAGTCGCTCAGTTTTAAAGCTATCGGGCTAAAACTTTCCCAAAAGTCTTATATCTTTTGCAGGTAGTATATAAGTCGGAACCAGCCGGATCGGACAACTATATCATATAGCTCCCATAGGAATAATCGGACAAAAAAATTTAAAAAAATTATATCTTTGCTGTTTTTTAGCATATAACCTCCTAAGCTTGGAAATAACATTTTTTAATTAGTTTTGAATTTTGAATTAAATTTTATCGAAATCGGACGACTATATCATATAGCTGCCACAGAAACGATCGGAAAATTGGTGGAAAAATAATATGAAACAAATTATAGCTTCGGTGTTTTTCAACATATAACCTCCAACGCTTGGAAATAACATTTTTTAATTAGTTCTGAATTTCGAATTTAATTTTATCAAAATCGGACGACTATATCATATAGCTGCCATAGGAACGATCGAAAAATTGGTAGGAAAATAATATGAAACAAATTAAAGCTTCGGTGTTTTTTGACATATTATCTTATACTATTGGGAATATCATTTTTTGTGTTTTTAAATTTAATAATTATAGCTGCAAGGGTATATAAGCTTCGGCTTGCCGAAGCTAACTTTCTTTCTTCTTAATAGATGGTATATAAGGTTTTGGCTCCTTAAAGGTTTCTCATCCAAATATGACCCACTTTATTATAAGATAGCTTGGCGATGTTTCTGCAACTCGAAATTCGTTTTGGCATTGAACATTGAAACAAAAAAATAAACATTAAAATGATGAATCCAATTGATGTTTAGCTAATATACAATCTTTTTTTAGTTTGTGGTTAGCGGTAGTACCCTTTTCCCACAGATATCCATTTACCATCCGTTGACCAGATGGTCAATAAGGTTTTGCCGTTCCGAAAAATTCCCAGTAAGTCCGCCATCCAAAATTTGACGAACTTTAGAAGCGTCTTTGCACAGGGATCCACTTCATCCGTTGAACGGATGGTCCAAAAGGGAACAATTGAAAATGGAAGACGCAGAAGCAACATGTTTGGTTTGATTAGCCAGATCAGCTGTTATCAGCTGTGTATGTGCTCTGTGGAAATCCGAGTTTCATATTAATTAAATTAATAATTTCGAACTGATGGGAAGAGGGTACAATATGCAATAGACTTTTCGAAGTTTCACATTTGTCAAAAATCTCATCCGTTTTACATGGATGGACTGAGTAGAAGTAGACTAAATTTTGCCTTTTCTTAAAAGGTTCTTCATGTTAAGAAGACAATACCGATTTCGAGGAGAAAACCTTTTTTGCTATATATGCATTTATTATAATTTAATATAAAAAAAACGTTTACCTTATTCTTCACTAAATAATTTGTTAAAATGAAACAAATGAAATGGAACAAGCAAGGAAACGAAAAACATGAAGTATATATCGAATTATCGAAAATATCATATCTGCGAAAAATCCTCTTTTATAAGCGCTGCCGAAAATAGCTAAGAAAATGGAAGCTGCAAGGAAAATCACAAGTTTGCCACAGGAAATTCTGGAAATTCTTTTTGATACATTGGATTACGATGATCGCCTGAGTTTGGCTCAAAGTAACTTATATTTGGGCGACTCTTTTGCCAGTTTTTGTGAACGGGAGCTGAAATATCTGGAGCTTGGTGGATGCGAAGCTGAAAATGATTATCTGACTCGTGTATTACCCATCTGCGGCTCCGCTGTTCAGTGTATAACTGGGGAGAATAGTGGATACCCAATGCTGGAAATTATTGAGCGCTACTGCACCAATGTGGTTGAAGTTCGCCTGGTCGTAAACTCTTTGTGGCCGTTTTATTTTATCCCCAATATGAAGAGTCTTACTACTGTGGAGTTGATGCTAGATCAGTTGTATGAGGATGATTCTTTATACCCGGCACTGCAGGAACTCCCCCACCTAACGGATTTACATTTTCATGATTTTTCCGAAAAAAACGGTAAGTTTAATATAATTGATAATGATGTCCTTACACATTCTCAAAAGCTTGTTTGATTATAATAGTTCACAAGGTTCGGTATTTGGTTAATCTGGAAAGACTCGTCCTTCAAAGAGGAAGAAAGGAGTGTCCAGTCGATATCATTCAAATATTCAACTCGCTTAAAAAACTTCTTCATTTGTTCCTCGAGTGTGACGAAATATCTTGCAAGACCTCGTCTCAAAAATCAACATATTCTGCTCTTAAAAAATTGGAATTAATTGTCGACAAGGTACCAAATTTACCGATTTTTCCAAACCTACGTTATATGTACGCTTTATCCGACAAAAACTTCAACTGGAACAAATGGATCATCAGTCACGCAGAGACTGTTAAGATACTTTATATTCATGATAATAGTAGACTGCTGGAAGCGCTCGAAAGATGCAAAGTACTGCGAGATTTGGGCGTATTCGTTAAATCTTCTAAGATTTCCGAGGAACATTTGAACTTACTTATTGATTTCGGACGTCGTAGTGTGAGCTCTTTATCATTTGCAGTAAAAAACGATGAGGAATATAAAGTCATAAAAAAACGTGTAAGTAAATGAAAAATAATCTATTGTATTATGTTAAATGCATTTCATTTGCAGTTGGAAGGCCTCCCTTACTCTGCTATTTGCAAGGTGCATGTAGAACATACGTGTCCGTAAATAAAAAACCATTCCATTCGCAAAATTAATATGTTTGTGTTTGATAGAAAAACCAGATTCCATAATAAGCATTAAATTATTTGCTATGTTTTTTTTACTATAAAAGTTATAATAAACATTTGTTTTGAAAATCTTAAAAAAATGATAGTTAATTCCAGATTGTCAGCTTCGATATTGAGTAATATTTGTGCCGTCAACATGTTATAGCCATTTGTTAAAAATTAATTTGTAACCATCAAGCATGGAATGGGCTTTTTTAGGTAATCTTATTTCAAAGAAGTAGTAGTAGTATTTCACTCATTTGATTGCTCATTGGGGCTTTACCAAAATGCCAAGACGGCAACTCATTGACGACCTTTCATGGTCGGGCAACACACCCATATACTCCCACAGGCGGATATAAAAATTCACAGACTGCCATTCATCAATCATGACCAGAAGAAGGCAGTTGGAGCTTTTTGCATAACCCAGCCGAATGTAAACAAATTGCGAGACTGGCGAAGAGCAAAAAGTAAAGCGGGTTGAATGACAGACATTGGCATAGATTTCGGCTTGGGACTCTGTCATGAACCCAGTTCGCCGAACAGCCCACCATCTTTGGATAATATTTTGTTTTGCTTTCGTTCGAGCGCCAAATCTGTCCCAATATTAGCCCATGGATGCAGGGTTACCTCAGAGGCGATAAAAAGTGTAAATTATATTACCAACTGCTTACTGGGAGGGGAAAAGAAAGCCGCTTTGGGGGCGGAGGTTGGCGACTAGAGCAGAAAATTACTCAACTCAAGTCAGTTTCGGTTTCGGTTTCTGTTTCAGTTGGGTTCAGTTCGGCTGTTGGGGCTTGTTAGCTGCTTAGCTGCTTGGCCTGCTCTTTCTTGGGGGCCTCAACTTTCACTCAGACTGGCAGACAATTTGCTGGTCGTCCCGCCCGTTGGCCCCTCATAATTAAGCCATTTGGCTGGCCAACTGCCTAGTTGGTCAATCATTTCTCACTCGAAAAGTGTAACAAATGCAGCAATTAGTCGGCGCAATGCAGATGTAATTGTAATTGATAAAGTCGTGTGTAACCGAGTTGAATGATCAGCTAAGAGATAAGTGCTGAAATATATAGTTTGCTAGTGCAATAGATTTATTAGTTTGTTGGCAATGTGCAGATCCCCAAAATAAGATAAGGAAAATATTTTTATTTTATGACCTTAAAATTAAAATAAAACCTTGAATTAAAACTTTATATTGCCATGAAGGCCAATAATATACAACAAATCTGAAGCAAATGTATAAATATTGTAGTATTATAAAGTAAAAGCTGTCTTGAAACTCTACATATTACTTTCTGTTAAAATTAAAATTAGCTATCAACCAAATAAATAATAAATAAATTATTATAAATAAAGCATACAATAAAATTTGTTTTTAAAGAGAAAATCCTACAAGCCAAAACATTTGCGTTTTTAATGCAAGAAGTATTATTTAATAAAATTATTTTTATAATATTCATTATGAAGGGTACTTAATTTGTTGATAATTATGTTGCGAAGAGAAGAAAAAGTTTTTAAATTTAGTTAATATTACTTTTTACCGATTTCCAATTTCCAATTTTCAATTTATTTTTCTTATTTTAATGAAGATATATTCTATGGGTTGTTTTGGCTGTAAACAATATGGCCTCTTAATCTTTAAACAAAAGCAAAAACCGGTAAAAGAAAAACGCTTAAATTATGATTACAAGCTGTATTTAAAGTTATTTTTTTTGTTGAAAAACCCAAAATCTATTTTAAGGTTTGCACTTTAAACCATTGACCTTCAGAGAGGCCTAGCTCTACCAGGCGTCTTCTGCTCTCATTAACCAAGCGGTTTGCTCTCCGTTAAAGCTAATCCACCTGGCCAAGACGAGCTGCTCTCTCTGCCGGATTGTAGACTTCGGCTTTATCTCCAGAGAAATGGCTCGATGGCTTTTCTGCGCAGGCGTCGCGTGTCAAACGATCGCCGAACTTTAAGCCGGAAAGACGTAGTCGTCGAGTCGTCTGCGTTTTGTTAAAAGTCTTACACCGCTTACGTCTGCGGTTGCGTCGCTCGAGCTAAAAAGTTAACCAGTTTCGATTCGAATTTCGCTTTCAGTTTCGTTTGAGACACGCGGGGAAAAGCAGCAGCGACGGCCTCAAAAAGTGCAGTGAGTAAGTTGGGAAAAAACCCACGGCGAATATCGAAACCGAAAGTGTGCAAATCGAAACCAAAAGCCGGCCCCCTAAAATAACTCTTCAAATGTAGCAATTTAAAAACCAAACAAAGCATGCCAATTGTATCTAGAAACGCGCCCGGCCAATTTTCGAGTTCAGCCAGCCAGGAAGAGTGAAAAGAAAGTTGTAGAAAGAAGTGGCAGCAGCGGGGAATTGCGCAAAAATGGCATTACAAAAATCGTTGGGCGCAAGTGACTCAAGTGGCTGCACAGAAAAAATTGTGCAAACAATAATTTAATTTGAATATTAAAAAAAAAAGTTGGATACTGGAAACAAAATTGATGATTATAACAATTGAATAGATATTTTTCATAAAGCTATAGCTACTTAATAAATTACAATTACATCGGTGTGAACAATATCAGTTAAAAACCATTTACATCTAATAAAAAGAAAGTTAGAGTCGAGTTTAATTTTTTCCGTTCCATCCTTTTTTCATAAACGAAAATAATTTTAATACAATAATTTTTTTAAGATCACCCTTCAAGCATAAACTAAAACTGAATAAAATTATTCAAGATGTTTAATATAAATAATAAATAATACAATCATTTGTGTTAATAAATTAAATGTATCTGAAAGATAATTTTAATCAAACAAATATTTAAATTCTAAAATATAAGATACGCTCTACAAATGTGGTTAATGTGGTTAAATACCTTGAATTTCCTTCTTTTTTTTCTGTGCGAGTCCAGCCATAAGACTGGAATCGAACCTCAGCACGCCTTGGACATTAAAGCTAATTGGTGGGCGGTCGAAGAGTGGGGCGTGTTGAGTGGATTATGTAATTTGACAAGCGGAGGATACTTCCCCAAAGAATTCACAACACGTACGCCATATCCGCATCCGCATCCGTATCCGTGTTCGTCTTTGCCCGCACAATTTGGAACGCATCTCGAGCGTAAAGTGTCCTTTCGTGTCGCCGCCTTCTCGTTTGGTGTCGGTGTCCTTCCCCCCCCTTTGGCCACCCCCTCAATGTGCATTTTGTGATCCTTGCACCTGGTGCAGGGACACTCCCCACACCCCCCTCCTCTAAATTAGCTGCCATTTCTTGTTGTAAACTTCCATTGCCGTCTGCTGTCTTTCGGTTTAGTGCAGCGCCCTCTGGCGCCAGCCAGCGGCAAATGCAGTTTTCTGGTACTTCCCCGAGAATTCCCCCTGTATCTTTTCCCCCTTTGGATGGGATCATAAAATTTTTGGCTGCAATTACAGCTGGCAAAAGTCTGTTGCCCGTCTCCGTTCGCAATTGCAAGGAATTTAAATTTTATATTCAACAAGACATTTGGCTTAGGAGTTGTTTTTATATTGCACAAGCACAAACATAAATAATATATAATTTCAACTCTGTGCAGATGCTGCAAATTCAGTGAGACTTTAACCAGATAATTTCAAAATTTCCTGTGCGTCATCTTTAAAAAGTGTTTAACATTTTTTCCACATACACAATGTCTGGTACAACCTTGACTCCATTTAAATGCAAATGCAAATCGAAGAGCGCTAAATGACGAGCTAAACAAGGCGACAAACTGTGCATATTTTATGGTGAAATTTATGGTTTGCAGAAGACGAAAAGAGTTAAAAATGTTAAGACCCCAATGAATGAATTGTGAGTGTGCTACAAGCCATTGAAATCAATAAACAAATGGAAGAAAGATGATGGTGCGAAGAAAAGATTAGCTTAAGAACATAAAACACACTTTCACTGATCCATAAAATATGATATTTAAAAAGCTCCATAGACAAGGTGATAAAAAAGCCCAATAAAGATACGACTTAATAAAAAAACAGTTTGGGAAAAATAAATTATTTTCGAATTCTTTATAATTATAAACTTTAGACTGACTTATAAAAACTATTTGCTTAAAAACTCAACGAAGTCTTAACTTCTTTAAATAAATGTATATTAAAATTTAGGTTAATATTATGGGAAAAGGTATTTCAATTGAATCTTAATATCAGACGTTTTAATGTATCCGAATTGTATACCTCAAGTGTAAGTTGACCCATAGCGATAGTACCATATATCACATGAGTCAGAAAAAGTAGCAAACCAAGCAAAACCCAAAACAAAGAACAATCATACGAAGAGTTTATATAGATATATGCACTCTAGACACTTGTCCTAATAGAACCCGAGCATAAAAAGAAACCGAATCGTTCTGGGCATTAAACTTTTAAGGCCTGTCAGCGTCCCGCCAAATAAAACTTGACAATAATCCGAATAATTTTGCATGGTTCGCCGGGACTGAAGATGATGGGATCCGATTATTTCTGGCAGTCGTGCGGTTGCATAAACACGGCGCAATCATAAAAAACGGAATTAAACAAATGTCGTCGGCAGGGAAAACTCCTTGCCGGATAGCACGTGAGAATTGCATTAATATGAATGCAAATGTGCATCCCCCGAGGGCGGTGGGTGGTAAATCTATAAATTTATGTGCAAATGTAGCAAGAAAATGTCGAGCACAAGTCGTCGGAAATTGCGCGAAATTCTTTTGTAGTTTGAGTTTGACAGCAAGTTTTTATGATGTTTTCCACCATTCCATTTTCCCCATTTTAGGCGACGTGCGAAGACACTTTGGCTTTAGCTTATGAATCGCTGACGTGAGCAGCGGGATTTTCCACATTTTCCCCCCAACCCCGCCGCCAAAATGCAATTGCTATGGGAGCCGCGAAGTGTGCAATGGAAAATTGCAATTCTAATTATCGCATTAGTCTTCGACGTGTCGTGCATAAGAAATGGCAACGGGTGAGTTGATTGAGCTCCTTGAATTATGCAAATTTTCTAGAGCCCTAAGTTGACGTTTTTAATATTATT